GGAGCACGCAACGACACTGACAATCGCTCTGTAAAACTTACCTTCCGTTTTTGGTAGGACGACGAATCTTGTAGAAATTCGATCAAAATCGGCATCAAAACCTTCAGCTGTTTCGGAAGCTCAGCGCTGACGATCTAAACGAATGCTGCTAACAAAAAAATGCCATTTTTAATTAAGTTCCACTATGACTAATGCTAACTAGAAGAGAACTGCTGCAGAATACTGCTTAGCAATTTCGTGGAAAATCAACAAACTACGGCATATTTATCACACCGCAATATGACGGTTTAAAGGTTTACTGATAAAAACAAGACGTGAGAAATGTCTCTCAATCAGAAACATTCTTGACGGAAACAAGGAAAAAGAAAACGGAGAAATAGTAAGAGAAACGATAAAAAGGAAAGATGATTCCAGTGCTGGTGTAAGGTTCCAAAACGGATTCTCTTGCAACCCAATATCAAAAAGCTACGCGCTTCTAACGCGCTGTCACAGACAACTCCTCAGCATAGGTTTATAAGATTTACCTTTCTTAACAACAAGGTGTCGTAGTGAATTGGCTTTTCCACCATCGAAGATGCTACACTAACTAGATGTTGACCATTAAGTTGCATCCCGAGACTGGTGACTGTGACGCCGAGGAATATAATTTCCTCCATAATACGACTAGGGTCATAATTCTTCTCAACAGCGTCGACTGATCGGTCGCCCATAAAGCACATGAAACGAATAAATCAGGCGCAGCACTTATCGCCCCAGTGGATGTTTTCGTCCGTACCATGGTCAAAAGGTACTTCTGGAGGAGTCGCATTCTACCTGTGACAAAACAGAACTAGAGCAGCAGGAGGGACCAAAGGCCTACTATCTAAAAGCCTACTAAAAACTCAAATTCTGGAAGCTGTTGCAGAGTATACAAACAACAACAAAAGATCAACAGCTTATTCTAAAGGCGATAGAAGAGGGACCGTAACATTGGCACTGATTTATCATACAATAAAACCTGCATTGGCGCTACATAACATAAAACCGTGCTTATACCATTTTCAAAGTTAGATTCGATATCAACTGCAAGCTTCACTGCGAAATCACCGATGTCGTAACGATATGTTTATCTCAATAACTTACATTTGCCAGTTCTCCAATGGCATTCAAAGTGCTAATGACCACGTCACTCTGTGAGGAGCTCTTCAACTTCGGAATCAGAATCTGAAATAGAAAAAGAAAACGTTTGATTTTTTCATTCTTCGAAATATCTCGCTATTCTGTTAACTTCACTGTCCATTCAACAACCTCATGCAAAAACAATTCGGTTACCATCGTCAATGATGAAGGTCGACGACTTGAACTGTATGAAATAAAGAATGTGTGGCATTTAAAGCTGATGAAAGAACAACACTGGAGCATATTTTCGTGACATTCCCATAAGCGATATCCCCTGAACTAAAGAAGTTCTCGCCAACCATCTCCCGGGTCTCGTCAGGTAGTTTACCATTAAATCGCTACATAGCGCTAGGCGCGCTTAGTCTTTCGCCATGACATGACACGAAATCAGTGTGGAGTTGGTATCAAATGGCGGCTTTCAGCAGATATTCCTGCAACTGACACTAGACATTTAACAGAGGAGGCAATGAGGTACTGTTTTAAGCCGAATTTTCATTGTGCCTAGGAATGTACAGCGTGCTCCATTATCCTTTCGTTTCTTTGTCATGCCACTTGTTTTTTATGGTTATGACAATTAATCAGGCCTTACCAGTGGTCTTGATCCCCCGTCAAAGTGACAAGCTGAACATACCTATCAGCTAGTCGTTCTCTCCCTTGCCCATCGCGTGATCCGGCCGGGATATGAACATACGAACTTTCGACTCGGTGCTCTGCATATTGATCTCTACCCTGACCTATGAAAACTAACGCACCAATCCTAACAGTACCAAGTACAGATCCAGATCAAAAAGTCTTTCTATCGCATTTAACCACAGATATCAACAACTTACAAATACAAACATGCAGCTATGAACAGCATAGTCTGATCAACTCATTTCACCCCTGCACAAACTCAACAATGATTTTGCTTAGTGTGCTCTCATTGAATATGAAAGTTTTAAACCAGGATGTTTTCATCAGATGCCAATGTGTAGAAAGTACTGCAACAGGTCGTGAAAAACTTCAGTGCGCAAAGCGAAGCGCTGAAAGAAGCAGGCGAAAACACTACCTCGTAAGCCGACTGCATGTAAGGTTTCATGAATTTTGGAGCGCCGCCGGCCAACTGCGTGAATAAACGTGCGCTTTGCTCTTCACTGCGACTGAGGCCGCTGTACATCAATGCACTGTAGATCTGCAAGGAAACACTGAAATAAAACCGAGCACGCACTTTTCGGAAGCACCTGAAGCAGCACTCTTCGGAGCGTAGGCATAACCAGTGCAGGATTGATGCCACTCAAACGACACACCAAGGAGACGACCAGTTCGCGAATCTCGTAATCCTCGTCTTGCAGCGCCAAGGACAACAATTGTAGCAGTTCAGCCTGCGCCAAATGAGGGTAAAATAACTCGTTTTCCGACATCGATTTCAGAACGGTCAGACGAATGATTTTTTCTAGTAAAATACCAGATACACTGTAACAGCGCCAAAATTTCACGCCTGTGCTGTGTATGTAAGTAAGCACCACTAAGCTTTTGGGAGTTACTTCAGGACAGCAAAATGGCTGAGAAAATGTCATATTCAACGAACTGCTACTGCAATGAAACGCACACTTGGGGATAGTATTCAAAAAAATTACATCCTCTGAAAATGAGGAAGGGATTCACAGAGAATCACAAGAATAAATTTGCTTCTTTGGGCTGCTTGAAAAAATCGCCTTTGGAGATCCCAAGCCGGATAAGAAAGGAGGAGGGTTGAAGACCGTGCCGGGGTCTTCACAAAACTTAGCCAGTTGCTCCTCATCGTACTGCCGTCACCGAACATTATACCGGCTTGGTCGTCGCCCCAGTTAAGAATGGCCGCACAGCCCATAAAGGAAGGGTCACAGGCTGGAAAGTCGTCGATCAGAACCTGCTCACAGCCTCCTCGCAGCCCGGGGCGCAGCAGGACAACAACGGCTATCAAAGATCGACAAGACGAAGACAGAGATACCAATTACCAACGGAGGCCCTAACCGTTCTGAACGGAGGAGGGAGAAAACACGATGCCATTACAACACATCAACAAGGCTCCACGGCAAAGATATCGACAGTGACAGCTTACAGTCGGAAATTGCAACATATTCTCACTTAGAAAGAACAGAACCCAGCTCATGAGGCCAAAAGGCACCAAACTGACATTGTTGGACTCTCGACAACGAAGTGCCAAGGCTCAGAAATTCTGAACCTCTGGCGGTGGAAGCAATTCTACTCGGGTATCGACGTAACAACGTGCGGTGGCCGACAAAACCCAACCTGGCCGACAGAATCATTGAACGGAAGCCATTCAGCCCAAAACTGGCAATCCCCAACTGAAGCTGCAACAATATAAAGCTCCAGCTTTGATACAGGTCTATGCGCTCAATTTGGAGGGAGAGAGAGAGGGGAATATGAGTCCTTCTTTGAGGAAGTGCAAAGTGCTCTGAACGAAGTGCCCACTACGCAGTTCCTCTTTCTAATCGACGATTTCAATGCGCATGTCGGAGCAGACATCGAAAAGTAGGAAGGTGTGACTGAAAAATATGATCCTAGTGACCTCAGAAAAAACGGCACGAAGTTGTAGCGGTTTAGTGCAAACAACGGAGCTTCTACTATGAAAACACCATTCATGAGCATCGAAGCGTATATCAGCAATTTGGCATTGTGAACACTGCGCAAAGAAGACGACGATAGATTTCATAACAGAATCATCTGACTTACGACCTCTGTAGTGGATGTTCGAGTTAACAGATGCGCAAAGCAGTCAGCCAATCAGCACCTGGTTCTTGGCATGCAATAACGTGAGAAATAAAGTACAATCCGATGATCTGGTGGCAGACGCAACCATAGAATCAAATGGGAAACATTATCTTCGGTGAACACAAAAGCGAAATTCGCAAACAGCATCGCACGACAGTTTCAACAGATCCCAATGATGACCACTAATGTGGAAACTGAGTGGCAGCTATTTAAGACCGGCATACTCTGGGTTGCTACCAAATGATGCGGTTTCATACGGATCGGCCTGCCGACTAGAGGACAAAAACAAACTTTATAGTGAACAGAACGGTGTACTCAAGAAATGGCTTTGAAGCGAGAAGCCTTCAACACGCATGTGGGATGTAGCTGCACGCAAGTCGGCAGTGACAACAGTGGCAAAAGTCGAGTCTGATTCCAGAAAGAAATTCAGTCAGCTGTTGGAAACAGATTTCTAGAAGACAAACAAGGTAGTCTGACAGAAAGTTCGCCGGTTCTGAGGTGAAAAGGACAGTCTACGAATTTTGAAAGTCAGGTCTTGACACCCTTTTACTGAGGATGAGGGCATTCTTCGGCGACTAAGAGAGTACTCTGAGGAACTCCTTAACCCGAAGCAACTCCAGGAAGATTCGCCTGTAGAGCAAAAGAGAAATGATAGTCGAATTTCTGTAGATGGAATCACAGAAACTGTGGAAAGCCTGAAAAGTGAAAAGGCTGCTGGAATTGATTAAATCCGCCTTAACATGTTTAAAGCATTAGGCAAGCAGGGTATGTGATGGCTTACACGTGCCTATAAAACTGCAGTGGCTATGGCGAGGACACGAGTTGACTAAAGAACGGGAGTTACGGTACTCTATTCAAGAAGGAAGACTGTTGGGAGTGCTCCAATTATTGAGTAAAAGAAAAGTCGACACAAAGATGTTAGA